AAGCTGGCAGAACTGCTCACTACAGCCATTCGAAATTAGATCAACCATTTACACTACGGATACTGTAGGATACTTTCCCCCCATATGGCATCCCTGGGAAGGACTCACCCGGGGCAGTCTGGAGTTTGTCCTCCAGGCAATAAAGCTAATAAAATCAGTGCTCTTGGCGACCTGCGGCACCCAGGAGGGGGCGCGGGCGGCCGGCGATCTCGGCGAACTGCCTTCCATCACCTCCATCATTCTTTCCGCTTTTCCCCTCGAGGGTTTTATCCTCCCTCTTCGCACTTCCTACTTCTTCTGATTCCTAAGACGCACGTGCGGGTTTCAGCCTCGCGCCATTTGTCAAACGTTGGTCCAATATCCTGTTGCCGGTCTGTCGCAAGTTTAATCAAAAGACGAAGGTAAAAAGGGGCGGCATAGCGCAGCTGGATGAGCGGTGCAACACAGGTTTCGGGTCCTGCAGGAGGTGTAAGCTGGCGGGAATCGGGGGAAGGAAGGAAGGGGGCGGAGCAGACGGGAGGCGTGTTTACACGCACTACGAACCCCTCGGCTTAGCACCTCGAGATGTTACCTTGGCCGAGTGAGGCGACCCGGAGCAACGAGCATTGGATTAAGGCAACGCGAGGAACGACCGCATTGCAACTTTGCTCATAAAAGCCAGCAACGACGCAAGCTTCGTCAGGCTGGGAAAGAACTGTGCGGCAGCTATTAACGTCAAGCACCTGGCCCACAGCAGCAAAGTCAAGGCGAGTCTACAAAACCCAGTGAGACTCAAGAAGAAAAGAAAGGAAAAGAAAAGAAAAAGCTTAGCGGTCAACAAAGCCATAACCACGAGCATCAACTGGGAGTCTAAACTTGGTCAAGCAAAAAGAGGCCGAAGCAGCAAAACAATGGGAAAATCCGAGGTCTGGTAGGTATTGTATGTAACCTTATTTTTTCCCAATTCATTCATAAAGGGCTTTTCATCCATACGAAAAGCCCTGTAAAGCACCAGGAGACAAACTAGGAAACACCGTGGTAAACAGAGGACACAGAACAGCGAGGCAGAAAGGAATGAGGTAAAATGAAAAAAAAAAAAAAAAGAAAAATGATGACGATAATATGGAGATATGAATAGCATACAAAAACAGGCGAAGCAGTTACCACAACTAAAATGAACAGCTAGAAGCTCTGGGTATAAAACATATTAAAATATGAATTGATTAAGAGATATATCGCCCGAGGACGTCACACCACCACGAGCTATGTTGCACGTACTGTCACTTCGAGAACCTGAATAGAACTGGCTGTTTAACCTCTCTGGCTTCGTATGTCATGCTCACTTACTGTACATCTGGGGCTGCGCTCCCTCAATCCTCTCCCTTTGGTTATTTGTTTTCTCTTACACCCGTTTTTTGTCTTTACATTTCGCCACTGTCTTCATGTATTGACTTCTATTTGCATTTCCCTTCTTTTGCCTTGTTTTTTTCACTATCATCCTCAAAAGAAAACACAGGCTGGACACTATCAAGCTTATGCGGGAATCTGCAGCAGCGGCGGTGATCCACTTTTGCTGTTAACACAAACACACCGTGCATTGCTTGTGTGCGTGTGCGTGTACGTGTGTATACGCGCGCGTGTGTGCATGTGTGTGCATATGCGTACAAGGTCTATACAAGTCTATATTTATATAAATATTGTATGCGTAGGCGTCTACGTGTGCGTACTATGTGCGTCAGGGTCTTTAGACAGGTATAACCACTCCATCTTTATGAAAGTCCTAGTTGGCAACTTCCGACCTAAGCCCTGCCTCATCACCTTTATTCATTGCAAATATTTTTTTACATTCCCTTTTTCTTGGTTTTGTTTTCGACAATTTTTTTATTTTGTTATCACTGATAACATTTGTATAATTTAATCGATACTGTCATACTTACTAGAAGTAAACCAAAATTTTCATCTTTTAGTTATTATAACTATGAGTTCCTTACCATCAGCAACCGTCAGAACACTCTTGGGAAGAGATTAACTTCATTTCTGGTTTCAATAGGCTATTTGAAAGTGGAGCTACCTGGTTATGTTTACAATGTTTGCGTGTGTAGAGTAATACCCAATAACTGAGGGAGGACAAATAAGCTTTCCTGCGCGCGGATCTCCTTCCTCTTCCCCTTTCCTCCCTTCACGAGCCGTAATTGTGAGATCAAAGATCTCGCTCGTAGTAAGAGGTACCCTTAATAGGTTAATGGCCCGGTAGATCTTATTGCGGTATGGGCGCCGTCCACGCTCCTCCCTTATCTCCATCTGATAACTGCTATTCTTCTCGTCATTTGATCTCGCTACTTCCAAAATAATGGCATGAAAGAAAAAACAGTTGAAGACTACGCAACTGTAAACAAAGACGAGACGACGGGTTCAAACGAATTGCTTGGGCTTTCTCGAGGCCCAAAACAACCCTCAGGACTTGAAGACGCATGCGCGGGGTCGCGGTGCGACCGGACACTTCTTGCTTCACGAAGTACATGGTGCTCTGGCCAGATAGGCGTCACACGCAATTTTTGTGTGTATATGTTTTGCGTGTGCATGTGATTGAGAAAGAGAGAGAAATGATGTTCATACAAATGATGTTCATATAAAATAAAGGTCAGGATATTCCATATCTAAGACATAAGAAGCCTAAAGCCATCCCATTCCCTGACGTGTTACAAATCACCATTTTCTTCAGCGACAGAGAGCGATCACTTCGACCTGCTCTGAAGACGCTGAAGCTGGCTTGGGACTCACACAGATCTTCTTTTACTTTATTTGCATTCCTTTTCCCCTTCTAAGACCTTTGAAAAAAAACCAGAAACACATAAAAAATAAAGAAGCATCAGTGAAACTTTATATTTTAAAAAATGAAAAGAAAAGAAAAAGAAAAGAAAGAAAGCAGACGCTTGGCTCTGAGCGACCGCACCCTGACCGACGGCGCGTGCAAGGGTGACACTCGAGGTGGTCGGTGCCACCCGGAGGAGCCATGGCCGGTCGCCTGGCTGCTCCTCTCGCTCGTTCGTTCTCTCTCTCTCTCTCTCTCTCTCTCTCTCTCTCTCTCTCTCTCTCTCTCTCTCTCTCTCTCTCTCTCTCTCTCTCTCTCTCTCTCTTATTTACTAAGGTCGAATAAGACCTTAATACAAGCATATGTTTTTTTAAATATTTAACCATATAATCATGCAAAGTTGTCCGGGAGCTTCTCTACGAATAAAAAGTGAAAATGGTACAAGTTTATCTTTATTACACGTAATATTTTTTCTCTTACTTGTACCCCACCATCTTCGAGACTGAATATAGCGCTCTCTTCACCTCTTCCTCTTGAACTACTCTTTCTCTTCTCTTCTCCCTCCGTCTCCCTTTCTCTCTTTTCTTCTCTCTCTCTCAGTTATTATCTTCCATTCGCTTTTTTTTCTAAAAGATTCTAATTCCGTTAGCGAGTAATTTGCACCAAGTGATAAAGACTAACTTTTTTTTTTTAAGTTCATGATGTCGACGCTAAACATATGTAAATCGCGCCCCACAATTACAAGTCTCACGGGGGTGTGACCTGGCACGCGCAAAACGGTATTTCAAGGATAGTTTTGGTGTTTAATCAAACGAATACGCAATGTTTTATGCAAATGAAGTTTGGTTTCTGTATGAGTAATTTAAACCTAGTTCGATGGTTATTCATCTATCCTTTCATATCCATTTTTTCACTTTTTATGTCTACGTCTCTTCGTCATTCACAAGTGGCACTCTCCTAATGCCGACACACAGCCACGTGTCTCTGTATTATGGTCACGTGTGTAAACAAACGCCACGTGTGTAAACAAAAGCCACGTGGATGCTCCGTCTTGTATGAGGCATTCTCCCCTGTCCCTAACCTCACCCCTCTACCTGCACCCATATCCCTCCCTTGTAATTATACAGTTTTTTTAACGTACAGTAGACTGTTGCATACGGGGACTAATTTTCCCGTCTGGTGACTCATCTTTAAGCTCTCAGCACATCGCGGACTCACCGAGTTAAGCGGCGGATGGGCGAGACTCACTCACCGTCTAAACTCGCAGCAAACACACGTGCATAAGGGGCAGGTCTCAGTGACTGGCTTCTGGATCTGAACTGTCATGTGAATTTTAATGTGAATCTGAAAACTGTGAGATGCGTTACGTCATGGAGGATGATGCTTTGATTAAAAAATGAGGATCTAAGGTTTTCCGATCTCTTTCGCTTTTTATCTTCTGCCTTCTTCCTTTCCTTTTTTCCTTTGCTTTTTCTGTCCTTTTCTCTCTCTCTCTCTCTCTCTCTCTCTCTCTCTCTCTCTCTCTCTCTCTCTCTCTCTCTCTCTCTCTCTCTCTCTCCCTTTTACTCACATTCACTCACACTCACACCCTCACTCCAGTCATAACGTAAGCCTATCGCCACGCCCTGAAGTCACACATGTACCGCCTTGTAAACACGCGCACAGATGGAAGGCCACCCCCTCCCCCTTGTAAATCCTCGTTGAACACATAAACCTCGTCAGCGAGTGTCGAGAAATCCATCCCAATCTCAATCCATTTTCTATTCTCCTCTTCGAACGTCTTCCTCCATTTCTCGTTCTTTCTTTTCTTTCTTTCTCTCTCTTTCTTTCTTCTACATCTTTATCCCCCTCTCTATCTCCTCCCCCCTTTCTCGTCCCTAATCGTGACTTTCTCTCCAAGCGTCATCCTCTCCCTCTCTTCCCTTCGCCAATTTCCCTTTCCTGCTCCTTTCGTGACGTTCTCTTCACGTTTGTTTCTCTCCTTTCTTTCCCTTCCCCATCTTTCCCCTCTTTTCATGACTTTCTCGAGGTCTCTTCCTCTCCCCTCTTTCCTTCCTCCCTCGTTCTTTCCCCCCTCTCATGCCTTCTACCGGTGTCTTTTTTCTTCCTCTCTTTTCTCTTCGTGACTTTCTCTCCAGGGTTCTTCCTCTTTCCTTATCCCCTCCCTGTGTGACTTCATCTTCAATCTTCTTCATCTCCCCTCTTTCCTTCCCCCTCTTTCTTTCCCCTATCTCCGTGACTTTCTCCCTCCCACCCACGAAGACACAAATCCTCTGATCGCTTTTATGGTCACGCTACAACCCTGCCCCCCCCCCTATTACTCCCTTCCTTCCCCACCCCCCTTAACCCTTCTCCCCATCCTCCATCCCCTTCCTCCCGCCTCCTCTTCCCCCTTTCCCCTTCAACCCTTCCCTTCCCCTCCCTCCCTCCCTCCCCCTATCCTTTATCTCTCTCATTCCCTTCCCTGGCCGTCGGCTGTAGAACTCAACCTCTGCAACAAGTACTGCAAGAAGCGAGAACTGTGCAACAACTGACATGATGGTCAAGGGTTTCAGGAGCTCATAAGTATTGTTTCTGTTAGGATAAAAGGGGCATTTCAACACCAGACCTTGAACACAGATATTTTACTAATGCAATAAGGACAAAAAAAAAAGGTAGTAGACGTTTGGTAGACATTACTCCCAAAGCACAAAGAAAAGCAAACAAACAGGAGCAAAGAAATAATACATAAAATAGGGCAGAGAGAGAATGATGACAAGTTCGATGAGTCAAAGGCCTGGGCAGCAGCACGGACACACGGCCAGCAGTAACTCAATAAAGACTCGTTAATGCCACAGTCCACACGCACATACACCGTAGACAGACACTGACTCTCAGACATGGACACACAAACGCACATAGGCAGATGCATGGATACGGATGTAGGCAGGCAGGCAGGCACGCAGGCAGGCAGACAGGCAGGCAAGCAGGAAGACAGACGGACGGACAGAAGTACAGACAGACAGACGGATGGACAGGCAGACAGACAGATGGGCGGAGACAGGGAGACAGACGGATGGACGGACGGATAAACAGGCAGACAGACGGATGGACGGACGGAGAGACAGGCAGACAGACGGACAGATAGACATACAGGCAGGCAGACAGACAGATAGACAGACAGACAGACAGACAGAAAGAAAGAAAGAAATACACACACACACACACAAGACGTCTAGTCTGCACCGCTATGGCCGCCTCTTTCCATCAGGCGTTATTTCGTTCGCTTTGAGCCCATAACGAGAGACAAAACGAAGCACAAAGTTCAGTCTAGTAAAACCAAGAACAGGAACACATAAAAACACCCCCATGTATGTAATACACACTGAAATATAATGGTAAGTCGTTTCATGTTATAGCCCAACGATACAAAAACAAACGAACACAAACATTTATACAACACGTATAATCATGCAGATGTTTAAGATTATTGCATTAATACTTTTGTATTTCACAATACCAACAACGTTAATATCAACAACAACAAAAATGATCTTCCAAATATATCCAGACTAAACAAAGTTTCACTCAAAACAGAAATGAAACATTTGATCTCTAGGAACATAATCTGAACGAGGTTTTAAGCTTCAAGTAAGTGCATAACATTACAACCCCACAGTTTCAGATACCAATGCTCAATACCTCTCTCATGAAGCCTTGATTAGAGTTAAAAGCTAATAACTAAAAAGACAAGTCAACGAAAATAGTAACATGTTCAGAAGAAAAAGAGTCTTTTGAAATGGTCCCATGCATACGATAATTGACATGACCACCATTCATTCTTCCATCCCTCCATTCATTCTTCCATCCCTCCATTCATTCTTCCATCCCTCCATTCATTCTTCCATCCCTCCATTCATTCTTCCATCCCTCCATTCATTCTTCCATCCCTCCATTCATTCTTCCATCCCTCCATTCATTCTTCCATCCCTCCATTCATTCTTCCATCCCTCCATTCATTCTTCCATCCCTCCATTCATTCTTCCATCCCTCCATTCATTCTTCCATCCCTCCATTCATTCTTCCATCCCTCCATTCATTCTTCCATCCCTCCATTCATTCTTCCATCCCTCCATTCATTCTTCCATCCCTCCATTCATTCTTCCATCCCTCCATTCATTCTTCCATCCCTCCATTCATTCTTCCATCCCTCCATTCATTCTTCCATCCCTCCATTCATTCTTCCATCCCTCCATTCATTCTTCCATCCCTCCATTCATTCTTCCATCCCTCCATTCATTCTTCCATCCCTCCATTCATTCTTCCATCCCTCCATTCATTCTTCCATCCCTCCATTCATTCTTCCATCCCTCCATTCATTCTTCCATCCCTCCATTCATTCTTCCATCCCTCCATTCATTCTTCCATCCCTCCATTCATTCTTCCATCCCTCCATTCATTCTTCCATCCCTCCATTCATTCTTCCATCCCTCCATTCATTCTTCCATCCCTCCATTCATTCTTCCATCCCTCCATTCATTCTTCCATCCCTCCATTCATTCTTCCATCCCTCCATTCATTCTTCCATCCCTCCATTCATTCTTCCATCCCTCCATTCATTCTTCCATCCCTCCATTCATTCTTCCATCCCTCCATTCATTCTTCCATCCCTCCATCCATCCATCCCTCCATTCATTCTTTCATCCCTCCCTCCCTCCCCCCATCCCTCC